CCACCCATCGTCTTCCTCACCGTGAAACCACCATAAACAGACCCTGCATCGTCCAGCAACCCCCTGTCAAGCAGCAGCTATTGCTGCTGCTTCGTCGACCCTACCGTCCAAACCACCAGCTCCCCGTCGTCACTGCCCTTCGATTGCTGCTGCCCAAGCAGCCCAGCAAACGACCACCACCAAACGACCCTTCCAGCGAACCTCCATAACTGGCCGAAAAACGAAACCAGAAAACCACTTCCTCNGAAAACGAAACCAGAAAACCACTCCCTCAACAGACCCATCACGACCACCACCTCCGACCAGCAAGACCCTCTCCATGCCTCAGCTGCTATCAAGCTGCTGCTGCTTCCTCGTCGGAGTCACTACTATTTCGCCACCCCCACATCCAAACGACTTCCTGCAATGTCCAGCCATGAACGACCCTCCCTCCTTGCCATGACTGACCGGAAAACACACATACACACCAGCTGAAACTTAACCGAAAAAACGTTCAAAAATAGCCCAGAAGTTCTGTCCGGGGTGAGATCCGTTGAGGTCATTTTTTGTTCGTCGAGGTCCGGTACATCGAGGTTGTTGTTCGAGGTTTCGTCGCAGGTCCAACGCATCGGACGTTAATCTCAAGTAGGTCATCTCTGCCTATGTCCTTCATATTTGCTGTTTAGTAATATGTATATGTGTTTGTTGAAATACAATCCTAGTTCATGCGAATAGTATGCAAGTAAGCAAGACATATATACATGATGTTGGTGAATTGCTATTGTTGTTAATTAACTCCGTATGGTATTGGAATTTGGCCGTGAACGTCTTTTCCTTTGTTTCGTTACTTTAAGTAGTTATTTGGCATTTTGTTTCTTCATGTTTAGATTGTTGTTGTCCAAATATTTGTCATAATAGGGGTTTGCATATATTATGAAAGGTGTTAATTATGTTAGTTCGTCTTAATAGTTGTTTATACATGTAGTAGTAATGTTAAAATTATAGTAGTAATTTTAATTCCACAGAAAAATACTCGTTTCATCAAATAAGTTCAATCTGCAGCCCATGACCTCTCAAAGTAGTAAAAATGTAGTTATTTTAGCCTTATCTTATTTTTTTTAATAAATAAATAAATAAATAAAAATAAAATAAAATGAGACGAGCCTCGCCAAATAAAACACATAGATTGCGGGGCCCTCACAAAATATATGTATTAAATACTTAGATTCCGGGACAGGCCGTTTAGCAAAATTCACGGCCCTACCCAAAATAATAATGCGCTAAGTTGCTTTAGGCGCGCCTTTAATAATTTATTCTCCCTAACTCGGGTGCACATTTATGTGACCCAAATCCAAATCTCAGCGGAGTTGAAATGTGTCTCTAAATCGCGGGTACATTGATTGTAACGTGGTTCGAGATGCATNAAAAACTCCCTTGTACCCTCGCGGGTGCGGAAAAAGGAGGTGTGACACTAGGTAGTTGTGAGTGGCGCTCGTGTCTATAATTTCCCGAATGGACTTGCCATTTACTTTTATCTCGACGAACATCAAGATCTTCTCTTGGTTAAGAGGAGGCCCCCTATTTATTTTTCCTTTCTTGGTGATTGGGAATGAGTCCTTCTTCTTACGGATACTAGCACTGGTTCCCGCTAAGGCATCATAAATAGAACAAACAAGTGCGTTGAAGGCACTTATTAGTTCTATCTGGTCAGCATCTTATGTGTCGTCACCCGTCCCATCATCAAAGTTTGATGGACGTTCATCTGTGCATGTGGACATTCATTGTTCCAATCTGACCCGCCGCAATGACGACATTCTTAAAGGGGCTTCCTCCCCCGATCGTTGTTGTTAGATGCAACACTATTACTGCCTGAAGAAGGAGCTTCAGATTTGGTTGCACTCCGATCTCCTCCACTTCTACTAGGGCCACTATTTCTAGGTTGGCCCCCTTTGTATCCCCCTCGGACAGGCGGCTAAGGCATATACTTCCGAGCTACCACTTGATAGTCCCCAAGGCATTCCGCTACTTGGATTGCCTTGGGTAAAGTGTTTACCCTTTGTATTTGCAGCTCCATACGTGCATAAGGTTTCAAACCTTCTAGGAATGTGAAGATTTTGTCTTTGTCCCCTATATCCCGTATGTTCAGCATGAACACGGAGAATTCCCGCACATAATCCCCCACTGACTTGGTTAGGCGGAGCTCCCGTAACTTTCTTCGTGCATTGTACTCAATATTTTCGGGGAAGAGTTGTAGGCGTATGGCTGCCTTCAGTTCTGTCCACATCTCAAGAGTATCTTCACATGCCCTTGATGGCTTCGTATTTCACTCGCCACCAGAGTTTAGCATCACCCTAAAGATACATGGCAACAATTGCTACCTTTCTTTGCTTCTTCTAACTCCCCCATAGCATCGAAGTACTGTTCGATGTCGAAGATGAAGTTCTCCACTTTTTTGGCATTCTGAGCTCCATTGTATGGTTTTAGCTCAGGAATCTTCAGCTTTTGTGACATAGGGGCGAGATTCACAACACCCCCAAATTGGTTTCCACCTCCACGAAGTAGGCCTTATAGTGCAGTATTGACAATATTGAGCTGGCTTGTCAAGTTATCTATGGTTTGTTGCATGGCAGTCACCCTGTTTGCATCTTGTGCTCTATAGGCTAAATCCTCGGCAAGCTCATGTTGGAGGCCCTCGAATTTACCAAAACTTTCGGCTGACTTTGTGACTACCGTTTGCAGGTTTCCTTCAGAGTGGGGACCGATATTCATTGTGTCACCTTCGGCCTGCCACAACCTGCGGTCCAGGTCGTCTAACCTTTGCACTAGACTGGTTCTTAGATCAGACACCATATTCACGATGGTTCATAATACGTCAATCGTCTCTTCACGGGACGCAATGCAGTCCCCATGATTCACCATGGTCAGAAATAATGGTAATGACAATGTGTTCCCTCGTCCGATGTCGAGCCTAGGCTTTGATACCAACTATTACATGGCACCTTCCTTAGATTCCGTGAAAGGAAGGCGTAAGGTTAAACAACCGATGTCCGTATAGTTATTATCCGCCAATTGGGGTTCCCTCTGAACACTAGAGGAGATTATCAGTGTTGTACAGGAAAACTAATGTCAAGAGAAATTGAGAGAACAGAAAAGAGAATTGAGAATGAAAGAAAGCTTGATTGCATTAATGAAAGCTATTACAGAAAAGCAACACGGTGTCAAGGGAGAGAGACACCAATATAGAGAATTGTTTGTTTGCTAGAAAATTTGATTGCTTGATCCCCCATAATAGTGCTTAAAAAAAAATAAACCAAAGTTATAGGACTTGACCTAACTAAGCTAGCGAGACATAATGGAAATACATGAAATAAATTTTTATACTGAAAAGGACGAATTTGCTACCAACTTTCTTAGATTTCATTCCTGTTGACTAATCCGAGTCCTTGAGAGCTTAGACGTCAGCGGGGAAGAACTCCGAAAGAATTTCATCGGCTCCGGGGAATATCCCCTCATACTTGCGGCTGACGCCCTTACTAAAAAAGAAGGAAAGATTTTTTGCAATAGTGGATTTTTTTTTCTCATCCTTCCGCTTGGAAATTCAGTTTCATGATTGAGTTTCCCCTTTCTTCTAGAGATGCTGGGGGTCCAGCCATCATAGGCCTACAAACAAGCAGGTCCGTTGGCAGCAACCTTGTCTTTAGCATCAGAGTCTGTGTGCGGCACTGTTTGTGTGCACGGTACTGTTGGCATCTGCCTGCGGCTAGGCGCCAGTGAGGGCTATCGGTGGGGAGATATAGGCACAAACGCGCTTGTCACTTGGCGCGGCTAAGACCACGGGGTCGTCCATGGCACTAGGCATTGGGAGGCTTGCCAGGACGCCATGGGACGCGTCTAAGGAATCATGAGGTATGGCTGGAAAGTCGCCCATGACATAAAGCACGAGCCCAACAATGTGATCATAGAAGATTGTTGGGATATTATTGTTCAAGTAAAATGTAATTGTGGAAAATGTGAGTGCAGTAAGATTTGCATCCACTATTAAGTCATTATGTTCATCAACAATAGCGTTGTGATGAACTCAATAAAGTAGATAATTTATCCTATATATGTTTTTATTCATCTTAGGACGAATATTTTAACATCTTAATATTCAAAAATCAATCAAGGACTTTGTTAATTTTAGGAAGACTTTGAAAATATACTTAAAAACTAATAAACCTCAGTTCCAAGAAATCATATCTTCTGCCAACACATTTACCGAGGAAGCAGAAGTCCTTATGAAGAATCTATTCCGGAACAAATGAATTGTTTTATACTTCAGGAACAAGCATAAAGAAACATTGATCGCTTTTGTCTTAATCTTAATAAAAAAAGGAATCAAGCGTCTCAGATTCAAATATTCAAACAACCTTCATGCTATCCAAAATCTAAAAAAATATATTGAAGTAAATTCCGTTTAATAGGATTTGACCCTATATCAAAGAATTTTTGGAATTGTATATTCAATGATGTACTAATACTAATAAACTAAATTTAGCTTAATGAATAGATTAAAATATTTAGAATACATAGATAGAGCGGATAGACGGAATAGAACCGGCATCGTAAGCTTGAAAGGCTAGGGGTTATAGTCGACGCCGATTATTATTTTTAACGTCTCTGATTCAAAACCGAAGATGAAGCTTTGGTTTCCTTCGGCTCCCACCGGATGGCAAATCAATCAGGGATGATACACCAAGGTGCATGGTTAGATCCAATAGGCGAGGAGTGTCCATTCCCAAAAGATGTCTGCAATGCTTTCATTTTCATAAAGATGGCATGGTTGGACACAACAAACCTATTTTGCAGAACGGGATAGAAGAGTCATTGATCAAGTTAGGCTAAGCAAAGTGGAGCAAGCCTCAGCTTATCAAGCAAACAAGCAACAAAATGATTCAAAAGCATGTGTATGCTAGCCTTCTGTTTGGGGCAGACTTTGTAAGAGTTAAAATCATGTATGCACTGTTTGCCGAACATCATCATCTGCAAAACAGGCTCTGCTGTTTAAACAAATGAAGTATAGAGCATTTTCCATTGACAATAATCAACTTTTTTCTAGGATAAGCACACAATTATCATTGTCATATAGCAAGTATTACAAAGAAAAATAAAAGTGAAAAGAGAAAACAAGAAACTAATAACAATCCTCACTGCTACTAAAGATAAGGAAACTTTACACAAGACTGATATATGGAGTTCCTATAGTTGCACCCTTGCTGTCCCCAATCACTAAAAATTAACCACTGCAGCATTTGTATGATGCCTTGAATAGATTGTGTGTTTCTCTTATCTTCATCAAGACTTGCACCAGGAAACAACAAAACAATGCAGAAGATCGCCTTTATCTCCGTGAAAACTTGGACAGCAGATATATCACAAAGAAGCAAAATAGTGCAAAAAGAATAACATGCATCACATGGTTTGATCCTTCCTGGATGATACTTCTGTTCAATCGTCTCATATTGTTCTTCACCCCTGCTTGAGCCTTGATCAGTGTCATTTGCTGTGATAATGGGAGGTCCAAGTTTTTAAGGAAACGGGGAAATCATGTAACTTACAAGAATGATTCCATAATCAATAAAATAAGCATACATCATGAGAATCTCAGATAGACCGACCAACCAACACATTTATAAACAATGCCGCACTAACTCTAGGCAAGTTTACTACTTCAACGGCTTGAAGCAATCTATTGCAGCAATTTGCTAGACGGGATAACTATTAGAAATACAGATTTACAATCAGTTGAACATATGCGGTGTGTAGTTCAATATCCCCGCACAAATTACCCTCAAGAACAAAGAAAAAAAAAGAGAAAATGGAATCAAGTTTGGGCTTTTTATTAGATCTAACAAGGATGCATCTTTCAAAGTACTAGAAAACCTATAAGAAAAGCATAGAGCAACAAAGGCATTCAGGCAGGTTGGTTTGGCAGTACGTAAGGCAAACAAAGACTACGAGTACACTGTCATTTCCAAAATATTTACAGTAATAACAATTGCAATTCCTAGCATTTATAGAGGGAGAGAGAGTGTTAGATTGTTATCCAGCCTTAGGAACATAAACACAAAACAAGCTCCAATATACAAAAACTTAATTGTTAAGGTACATAAATATATGGAAAAGTGACAAAAGGACTTAAAGAATATCAAATATCTTGGAAGAAAAGGAGAACAAGTTCATGGCATACCAGTTGGTTAATGAAATCATTCTGAAACTTTGCTTCAGACTCAATTTCTTGGGCTACCTGCAGCAAGAAATATCTATAAGTACTAGCAAAGGGTAAGTTGGAATAAAAATCTGAAACCCTGACAAAGGTGAAATGACAAGGCGGACAAATGAGACATTGGAAAAAATGACCTATAAGGAACATTGTATGGATCCACGGACAGGATATAGGAATGATAACCTCTCTCAGCCTGTCGTGAATGAACTATATGGATAACATGACACTGGTCCCCCTATTCTCAGATTTCACTAGGACAGATTTACAACCTAGAAATAAGTGCTGATGTCTCTCTAGCATCCACCTCAAGACCAGTTGAAGTATGTCAGCATGATAAAGCATCAATATATGCCAATATAAAAAAATGAAGATAGACATAAGTAACCACCAGAAAAAGGAGTCATGGGTGTGAAAACACAACCTTTCTTCAAGATTGGTAACCAGGAATAAGTCAGTACTTGCTCCATATACAGTCAAACCTCATGTCTTCTTAATCTAACAATTGATTCCATCCAACAAGAAGTTCCTATACAGTGTCTTTTATGCAAAGTATATCTCGGGGGGTNAGAGTGAATTAACATTTTTCTCATAACAGTGGCGTGTGGGCCAACTTGTGCACACCTCAGCCATTTAACCGAGTATTTGCTACCTCCAATTTGGCACAAGTATTGGGTACTTCCACCCGCCAAGGCTTATGCATATGGAAATAAATAACCTAGTGTTTTTGTGTTTCTGCTAGGACTAAAACCCTGATCTCCAAGGGTTGAACTCACTTCATTGACTACTAGGCAACAACCTTGGGTTGATGAACAGCTTTATTAATCCAGTATGATACGATAAATTAAAGGTAAAACATAAAATCAACATTTCCATTCCCAATTCTAAGATGAAATCCTAAATTAAAGGATAGAGAACAACATTCCTGAATGCAACATTGCCTTGTTTCGCTCAATCCCGAACACAGTATAGTCATTACGCTTTCGTTTGTTCGTGGAAGAGACTTCAACTATCTTCAACCTATATGCCTAACAAGTTTCACAGTGGTGTTCTAAGAAATACTATTATCAGTGTCCAAAACAACACATCACCTTATTTGAAATGGATCCATGACATAACACATCACCAAATTTGACATGTACATGCATATTAAAGATGCCACCAGTTATGCCAAAAAAAAAAAGTCCTCCAACAAAAAATACAAAATACAAATATAAAGCCAAAGACAAGGTGATAGGTAAGCATACATTTCTAAGCTGTTTTACTTGTTTGCGAAGACCTGTAATCTCGTCATCTAGGTCCCCGTGCATCGGATCAATCCGCACCTGTATCTCATCTGAACCACCTACTTGCCTCGTACTCAATCCATCTCTGATCAATCAAACAATGAAAGAAAACAACTNGTAATCTCGTCATCTAGGTCCCCGTGCATCGGATCAATCCGCACCTGTATCTCATCTGAACCACCTACTTGCCTCGTACTCAATCCATCTCTGATCAATCAAACAACGAAAGAAAACAACTAAATTTCTCAAAAATAAACCCCAAAAATGCAAAAAAATGTATTTCTATTAATTTTCTCCTAATTAGGTTATGCTTTTGGTAATTGTTTGTTACACAACACTTCTCTATCACAATTCAAATTGTGCAAGTAATTAGTACCATAACAAATTATAACTTAAGAAGACGATACTTTTTTTTCCGTTTTTATGGATACCTGGATCTGTAGGAAGCAGCACCGTAGAAATCACCGCCTCTATGAGAGCTAGAAGCCATTGAAAGAAAAAACTGAAGGAACCTCGAAACCCTAGGTTTCGCGAAAAACTTTAAAGTATCAATAAAAAGGATTGAGAATTCAGCACGTCAAAAAATACTTCTGTGCTACCAAAGATCAGAGGAGAAAATTATAGTAACCTGTAATATGTTTGTTACAACTCTATTTACCAAAAAATGCTATTTACTCTGTAATACAGCCTATTTTTCAACCATCTTGTCCATTAACTGCTATCATGAACCGTCTTGAGGGCTATTTGTTTCATCCTGCACAAGGAATGTTAATGCACCAGTATCAGAAACCAAATTCAAATGCACGTTAAATCAGGTAGTTTGCTTCCTCGTTTATGAAGTTAATTTGAGCCCTTGCCCTTTAATATCCACAAATGTACAGATTATAGGCAACAGCGCTAGGTTCTTTAGTTCCACGATAAAATATAATTACAAGGCATCATCCTATTAAAACCGTAATATTCATTAGCAAGTGGTACCGCATAAATAAATGGTTAAATACATTAACACAAAGCATGTGTTCATATAAATAGAAGACCACTCCGGATTTTCAACATTTAAAAAAGAAGGAAAAACAAATAACATGCTCAAGGAAAGACCCAAAACAATAGGTACATTTTTCATATAAGTACATCTCCAGGTCAGGAAAATGGAAAAAAACTATCATCCCTCCAAAAAAAGGAATATCCATTACATCTAATAAACCAAAAAAAAAAGAACTCCATTAACACAATTTACTCTTAATCATTCTTCTGTCACACATTAAATTTCCAAGCGCTTAGTGATTTTTTGCCAGGAACTTCAACATTTATTTATTAATGAGCTGCACATTAGCTCTATGATATCCTTGGCGCCCCCAACTGCTAAACACTTAGAAATCTTAATCTAAAAATGATAATGGTTATAAAGAAATTCAAATAATGTAATTTCAACATGGCATAAAAGTTATGAAATGCACATCAAATTCTTTAAGCTCCGAATGATCTCAATTGTGTTGAAAGTCTCGCTTCATTTAAAACTACAATCTTATGGTCCGTCTCTGCCCTCCTCCCCTAACATATCTTCAAATCTACCAACTCACCTTTGTATGATCTTAGAATTTGAATTAACAAAGCTAATCTCCAGCATATAATAATAATAATATTGTTATTAATAGATGGAGACTTTTAATATTTTCACTTCAATCACAAGAAGGAAGCCTTATCTGTCAATTTCAAAAAACTGAGGGGTATAAATCACTGAAAATCGAGAGGTTTAAAATTATACTCAAACCATAATTTATTTATAGTTGAATAGAAATACAACCTCTATCAATAAGGAAACCTTAGGTAGAAAAGGAGAAAAGGAACAGCTACGTACTACATAATGTTTAATTTAACCACAAATCAGCCTTGCTCTTTTCCAGCAAAAGTAACAGAGGCAAAGAAACAAACCTCCAATGCCTGAGCAGTCCTGTATTTCGGGACATTCACTTATGACATGCATATGTTTTCACTCACTCTCTGTAATTATGGCTGCGAAACTAAAACAACTCCGGTTTAAAAAACAACTGACTGTTTGAAAAAATCCTGGGAAAATGGAATCATTTAAGAGGAATGAAACTCAAACAAAGAGAAACATATGACAGATTTAGCAAAGAGTGCATGTATTTCATCACTAAACTTTCGTTTAATGGTGAATGAGAGTATTTATTTCATGAACTTTACCTTTTATTAGGTTGTTAACTACTTTATTTCAGCAATTCACAAATTTGTTAAATAAAAGATAATAAATGGAGACCGGTTATAACATTATGAAATTGAGCCCATATGGCAGAAAGCAGAAGCAGCGGGTACGTCTGTTCGGGTTCATTCATGTCCAACAAACTTCAAACAAAAGGAGATTCGGGTATCATGAATGCACTCTACAACCTCTGAATGGTCCCAGAAAGTAAGTTCTCCCTCCACCTCCTTAGACCAATCCCTAATTATAGGCAATACCTATTTGCATGTTATGGGCACCCACCTTTAACCAAGCGAACTAGAATTAAGCATTCTTTTACAACCAAGTGACCACCCCTTCCATCAGCTGCACTCAATTTAATTTCCACTTGGTGCGTGCAAACCTAGACCTCACCTGGATTTGAAGTTCATCCAGTGTAATAGCACGACTATTATGAAGCTAATCTAACTCTTGATGAGCTCCTGTGAGATGTGGCTAGTATTGGGGTCTAAATCCAAAAAGTATTAGCACGTTATAATTTTTCTATGAGATGCAACACATGGTGCTCCTTCCAGTAATTTCACGACATTCACGAGGCAATGACTCTTACTCTTGCTTCTTTTTGGCTTTTGTTTGTTTAGGGACTCATTGCAATAGTTTTGAGTTTTGACCCAAAATTGGAGAAGGTGCACCCAATTTGTGCAAGAACCAGAGGTAGTAGATTCGTTTCACATTATTTACAATTTTCCAACCATTTTCTCCATCTGTTCTTCCCGGAACAACTTCTTGAACCCACTCAGTACTCACCTAAAGGATGAAGTACTATATCACAGAATTGGCTTGAGGCTCCAGTTTGACTTATTAGTGGTAGACAACTCATAAAAGTCCAATTTTAACTTGGTTCTATATCATAAACTAATAAAGAAAACCAACCACCTCAACCCACTTTCGATTGAGTTGACCAAGTAGAAGTTAACCTTTTGAAAAAATTTCCATCCCCGAAACTACTAGAAAAGGCCATAGAGAAAATGATCACGGGCAGACCAAACCAATAAAAGAACAAACTACCTTAAAAGATGTGCATCCGAGTCGATACATATCTTTCATCCTCTCCTCACAAATAAGCAAGCCACGGAAAAAAAATCACGTATTCATATTTGACAACTGTGATCTCCACCAGGTTGATCTGTTTGTTTGATTGCATTTATAAAATTCGTTTCCTACAAACTTCCAGTGTTCCATCCTCAACTCCCATTCATTTGGTTTCAGGTGTACAAGCAGCAAGTATATACAATCAGAAAATCATCTCAATCACACGAGCATTAAAGAGTACATGCACCAAATAGCAAATTAAGCCATCATTAATCATTATAAACAGGCAACTCTACACCTTCTGCTTGGTGGCAATCTTACATACTATAGATGTGCCAGTTAAAAACCTTAATCTATAGAATGAAATCCCATGTGTTTCGGAACAAGGAAGACCATCACCGTTACATTCAAAGGATCAACGGTATTAAGTGCAATAACAAAGTTACTGAAAGCACAATGGCATCATCCAAGCATAGAAAGAACAACCTCCTATAACATGAAACTTGTCGAAGAACACCGATCAAATTCAACATAAATTAATCCTAAGAACTGGTTAAATATTTAAAATCTCTATACCAATTTTAATACTCCCTGTGCCAATTTGTTTGGCACTTTTTCCTTTATTGTCTATCTCAAAAAGATTGGCACCTTACTATTTACAATCTAATAATTATCACATTCCTATTTTACCATTGATATGACGTGTTCTAGATCCCACTAAATACAAAAAAGAAAAATTCGGTACCAAAGGCACTTGAAGCTTATATCAGAAGTCTTTTCTTTCTTAAACTCCGCATCTAGACAAATACCGCCAAGCCAAATTGAGATGAGGAAGTATTTCTTAATGAATTCTCCGTATTTAACAATTCCAGCTTAACTATGCACATTACGTTTATAGAACCAAATCCCCAAGGCGAAAGCTGCCAATAACTAGAACACAAAACACCGCACACAAAACACCATTAGTTATAAATGCAATATTCCAAGTAATAAATGACTTGTGAACTACGTCTTCAGGTTGGCAAAGAACGTTCCAATACACCGACGCCAGCGGAAACCCCAACAAGTATAACAAACCAATTCTATTTCAGAAACCCTGGTAAAAGCCCAATTCAAACCCCAACACAATTAAGACATTCAGGACAGCAAAAGGACAAACAAACAGTATGTGCTCCTCAAAAAAATAGCGGACAAATGCAGCCAAAAAAGAAGCTATCATCGCGAATATCAGTCTCAATTTCAAAGCTACACTATGAATTTAGACAGAAAAGTGCAAGAAACAAAAGCAATTGAACAAGGATAGAACAGAAAATAACAAATAAAATGAATTTGGATTAAGCCGTTACACTGATATCTTTCAAAAACAACACGAACAGATAAAATAAAACGATTTCGAATTAAGCTCAAAAGATAATAATCGAGAGAGAGAGAGAGAGACTAATCAAAATCAATACCACATCAACACATTGCATACAAGTGCACGGAACATAAAAATAATCCTAAAATATGATTAAACCTAACTCTAAAACTCTAAATTAAAATTTACCAAATCTCATTAAAAAAACATTTTAGAAAAAAGAGCTGATAAAAATGCATACAAATAATTAATCAAAATAAAAATAAACTCAACTTAGCTAAAAACGAAGGAGAAGAAGAATTCAAACCTGCTTTATCCCGTAAAGGCGAACTGGAAAACCCTAGTATTAAGTAGAAATGCTATGATTCTTCAACAACAAAAAAAACCACGAAACTTCAAAACCCTAGATGGAGAGAAAAATGAAGCGGCGGTGATGTTAGAGAGAGAAAGACGGAGAGTGATCAGAGAGAGAGAGATTCATGGCTTAATACATGACGAAGACAGGATTTTACCGATTGCGAAGAATTGAAAGTGAAAGGGGAAGATATAGATGGTTGAAAACTGAGAGAATTAGAGACATGTTAAGTACGTACATGTGATCTTATTAGGAAAGAGCAATTAAGGGCCCCAAGTTTTTGGAATACAATTTAGGGATGAAAATTTCAAATTTCGTTTTAAGTTAAATTTCAGAATTTTTTAAAAATTCTAAAAACTCTAGAAAACTGTTTCTCATCAAATCACTCAAAAAGAAATTCAAAAACAGCTCCAAATTGTATTCATGTACAAACACAACTCAAATTTTCAAATACCATTATTTACCCTCAAAATCGGATAATAATTAAATTTGTAAGTGGTTTTAAGGATACGCGGATTAATTTGATACAAAACGATAAATTAGATTAGAATGAACAAATAGAAATACAGTAAATTCAAACCACGCGAGGAGGATGATTCCAGCTTTATTGAAATATTCACCCTCGATCCGGGTTCACGGTGTGCGATATTGATGAATGAAAGAAAAAGCTTAGAATAATAGTGAAAATAATAGTATATTGCATTGGAATGCGTGTTACAATGTGTTTAATGAATTATTAGACCCCTATTTATATAGTAGGGGAATCCTACTCTAAGTACAACTCTATAAAAGGTAAAAAAATCTTTTGTTTAACTGATTGCCGGTTCTACATCGATACGTGTCGAGATCCACGCCATGATATCCGGTTGGTCGCGGATATTACGGCCTTCTGTTGGTCATGCTTGATTGCCCGACAGTGTTCTCCCAAGTCTCTCAGTGTTTGGATCGATCTCGAATCATGACCCCAATATTCTCGAGGACAGACAATCGCCCCCGGATTCTGACTCGATGAGACCCTTGCTTCGATTCTGATCCTTCGCAATCATATCTCGAGCTCGTTTTACCCTGTTGGAGGCCGGAGTATAACATGAGTTCGGTGTTTACCCGTATACAAATAGTCCCCTCGTTTCTCGAAAAGAAAGCTAACGAGAAACGACATGAGCATCCCGATTCCTTCTTCAATACACCGTGACATAAACAACAAAAAGCCCGAAATATCTCGTCAGTCATGTCATAATGGCATTAAATGCGCGTCAGCCGCCGGTCGGCTGTCCCTGGAGGCGAAATGTCGCGGAACCATTATAAATAACCCCTCTTTTGTTCATTTTTACTTTACATCAAACCGTCTACCCTCGTACCCTCAGGATTTCACTACTCCTTTTCACATTCTGGCATTTTTACCTCCGTTATTCGAGATTCCTTTGAAATTTTTACTCATTATCTACTCAAGCCAACACATCTGAGCTTCCATCTTTCAACATTTTTCTATTTCCTTCAAGCTTTCCCTTATAACAATGGCAAAACCCTCAAAATCTGTTCCCCAAAAGGTTGCTTCTACCTCCCAAACGACTGCCGGAACCAATGAAACCACTTCCGATTTGGTCGACCTTGGGAGATCCACTGCTAACGTGGTCATCGATGAACCAGCTCCTGAACCTCCCTTGAAGATGTTCATTCCGGGGGTTGTTTGGTTACTGGTGACTTCAAGGTCGAGAAACCCTCCTCGGTGCAAGGTCAGTGTGAGGAGGCATCGAGATTTATTTGCTCGATCACCGAAGACGATCTCCCCTTAGTCCGAAAGGACTATAACTGAGTCGATAAAGACATAGTGGTCCCCGACTTTGAGGAGGCAATTACTACATCCGTTGAGGGATACCTAAGTGTGTACACTTATCCCTTTATGCTGGGCCCAGTGGATCCGGTCATCATAGACTTCTGCAAGAGGTACGAGGTATGTCTCGGACAAATTCACCCTTCATTGTGGAGGATCGTGATCCTCCTCTGATTGTTTGTGAGTAAAATCGATTCGTGCATCTTCACCATCGATCATCTACTATGTTTATACAATTTCCGAATCTTCCGAGGGGACTGATAAATCTTGTTCGCCGGGCCAACAAAGCCCCATTTTTGAGTATCGTCGAGGACGAGGACGAGACCGAGGTTGGTAGGGTCATTTTGTCTGGGTGTGGACATCGGATTTGATCCCGTCCGAATTCAGGCTATTTTCCGAGAAGTAGAATGCATCACGTAAGTAAAACTTCCCCTCGAATGTTGATTTCGTGTTCATCTCTCTTTTTCTCATTGGTATTTGTGGTGGTGAAGCTGTCGCCCAAGTTCTAAATGATGTCCCTCGACTCAAGGAGTGGGTCGAAGATATTGTCTCACAGATGCCCTACTCCGAGCGCTCGTGGCACAAACTCTCGAAGGGCCGTTGGGAGGCCCGAAATCTTTTGTGCTGCACAAGGACAAACTATTTAATATGAGGAGGATCTCATAGTGTCAAGATTTAATTTAGTAGTATGCTGTTTAACTTAGGTTAGAGAAGGAAAACTTGGTGTTTTATTTTTGAATTGTATGTTAGTAATAATTGGTACCCTGTCTAGTCTAAATACTGACTTTTCCTTGGTTATGTTTATGTATTTTATTAGCAAGATCATTTTGTTTTTAGATATCATGAGACTGATAAATGCACCTTCCCATTTTGCAATGTCATGAATATGGAAGCAAAAGCAAACTCATGGTTGAAAAAACAAAAACTCATAGTAACATACAACAAAATATGCTGACATTCTTACTTATCCAAAAAGTAGTTGCTTTCTATTCTTTTTTTCTTTTCCCATTTGTCAAATGTTTTTAATTGTATTTGTTGAGGCCATTTAACATGTGTTTGTGCAATATTTGGTCGAAAGTAAGAAAAAAAATATTTGAGGAAGAATCCGGAAGAGATTATTAGTATAATTAAACTAGTCTACATATCACGTTTATTTAAATTGTCCTTTTCAAGTTCGAATAAATGAGGATTGCCATAAATGGATAATCAAGCAAAACTAGTAAAGTTATGATGAATTATCATAATGTTATACTAGTACACTTATTTAAGTCTAAAATTCATTAGGATTTTTTTAAAAATTTTGTTAGAGATCCGTGATGGGATTGCACTAGGGACCAGACCTTAGTCCATTCTTATTTTCCTTGGCGATATTTGATGCACTGACGCGCCACATTCTAGGAGAGATGCCATAGTACATATTACTTGCGGATGATATTGTATGATTGGCAAGCTGCGAGACCGTGTTAATGCAAGGTTGGAAGTTTGAAGATAGACCCTAGAGTTTATAGGTTTCAAGTTTAGCAGGACCACGACGAAATATCTAGAATGCAAGTTTCATGACGTGACTCATGAAGTGAATGCGGACGTGAAACTTGATACACAATTTATCCCCAAGAGAAAAAGTTTCAAGTATCTTGGGTAGGTAATAGAAGGAAATGGAGAGATTGACAAGGATGTCACACATCGAATTGGAGCAGAATGGATGTCATGCCAGATGAGGATGTATTTCAACTATGTTGACCTAACAGGTATGTGATATTGCCAGAAAATCTTGGCAGATTTTTATAGCTTGAGTTTAGGCCAAGATTTAAAGAAGTGCTTTATAGAAATAAAATTTACTTCTCCGGTAGATCAGAAGAGAATCTTTTTACTTCCTTTATTTGCTAGGGTTAGGAGATTTATTTCTACTTGGTTAATACTCATCTATAACCGTAGCCGTCTACTAGTATTCATATATATATATATAGTACGAGTTTATTTTTACAGTGCCCACCTACATAAAAAAATTAAGAGATCCTTTACGTGAGCAGCAATTTACAACAACAAGAGCAAGCTAAATTAAAGGACCAAGTTTAATCAATTAATTCAAGTCTAACTTAGTTTGTCTTGGTCTTATAATAGATGATTGAGTTGTAATCTCACACATTCTGTTCTAGGAGTGTTTTATAAGAACTATTGGGTGGCAATCCTTTTGTTTTAGACTAAAAGATTAGTTTAGAGTGTGTAGCTACAATCATCTGTATTGTAGGCTGTTTGAGTGACTAGATTTAGTCTCTTAAATTATAAAAGAGTTTTATAACCTGAAACATGTGAAGTTTGTGAGAAAAAAAAATCCAAAGTTGGATCGTGGTTTCTATTTCCCAGAGCAATGAGGTTTTTCGCGTAAAATTTCTATCTTCTTTATTTTTCGCATTTATTAGTTACATAAATTGCAAGAACCAATTCAAGAATCTGGTTCATGGAAAATGTAAAACTTATGGTAGAAAATTTAATTGATAGATGCACTACTCACCCCCTTTAATATATAATACTCACCCCCTCTAATATATAATTGGTGCATTAAAACTAATAACAGGTGTCAAAGCGGGCTTTACACCTTTGAGAGATTTAAATCCATTATAATAAATTGCGAATTATTCAACTAAAAATTTGTAATTGCGCTCCTTATTCAATTTCGAAATGCATCCATTAAATCTTATTTAACTCCCCATGTTAAGATTCAGATACTAATTAATTAAAATAAATTACTAACAATTTAATTTATTAATTATTTTATTTAGACTTTCGCTTAACTTATTTCATGTGTCAGATACAAAATTCACCAGCCGGGTTTACACATGAAAACTTATAAGTTTTCATAAAGGTGTATTATCAATCTCTAAACCGAGACATAGATTCCTTCAACTAACTAATACTTCGACAATGTACATTATTATTATATAATTTACCAGGCATATTGACTCACGAAAGGATCTCGCCTTTTAATAAATCAAAACAATAATAATATACACAACTAATAATAATTATATCAAGATTAAGAGTATAAATACATTTAATGGCTAGAGAATATATTTTATTAAGTCAGTATAAAATACTTATCTCTACTTGATTCGTTTAATGCATACAAAATGTACTAGCGCAAGAAGTTAGAATTAAATCATTCTCATAATCAAGATAAATTATATTTAATCTTGTGCTATCATTCCTGATGGTTTGTCTAGTTCCTTCATTAGAATGTGAACTCAAACTTTATATTTATAAGAACTAATGATCTAATCTTCCGTGCATAAGCTTAACTATACTAAATCATCTACTATATAAGCAAATGACACATACTAATATATGATCTATTTAAAACTTTATTAAAATTCAATAAAAAATTATTCCATAATAA